ACCCAGGGTGGACAATAAAAGTAAAATAGTCACAAATGGATGGAGCGCTCACCTCTTTCCAATCGACACCATGCAGGAAAGAGAGTGGAAGAGGTGCGCGACCCCTCTTTATACCCGGCTACCAACAAAGAAAAGCATGGCTCAGCTGCGAGCCCTAGTGAAGTGGAGGTATCCCTGACCAGGCATGTGAATTAACTTGCACATGAACCAAAACGTTTTGTGTAATTATTACATCCCGGTTACATTCTGTGTAATGATTACATCCCGGTTACATTCTGTGTAATTATTACATCAACAGCAGTGAATGTTTGTCTCCTGGTGGTGGGTAGAGCAGTCGTCTCCCAACCGGAAGGCTGAAGGTTCGAATCTCAGTGCCTGCAGTCCACATGTCAAAGTGTCCTTGGGCAAGACAATTTCGTTGTACGTGTCACAATGACAATATTCTTCTTCAGGAGTTTGAGCTAATTTCAATGAAAAGGCATCACACATACATATTCTGTTCTATTCTATTTTGTAATTTTATAATATATAATTACCTATAACAATTATTTACTGTAATTATTTCATAGTATGCTCTGCTTTCTATTACAGTCTATATATATCCATAAAATTAGGAGGCATTACACTTTCTAAACCAGTGGTCCCCAACCTTTTTATCACTGCGGACCGGTCAACGCTTGACAATCTGACCGCGGCCCGGGGCTGGGCGGGGCGGGGGGTACGTAGATTGTTTATATTGTTAATATAATAGTAAACGTGAATCCAGTGTATTGAAATTTTTAACTCCCCATAACGCTAAATCCATGGGAGCCCTGAGCCCTAGCACTCGTTTTAGTGATGTGGTGGCGATCTCAGGGTATTCTGTCATGACTTTAATCCAGAACACCGACAGAGTTGTTGTCTCGAACATACTTTTAAGGCCGCCGTCATTTGCGATCTCCAGCAGTTGATCTTCTTCTTGCACAGACCTGCTGGATTCACCTGGTTTGTTGACAAATGGGTTGCGGATCCATTCCTTGTTAGTTCGTGGGTCCTTTGTGGTTGGGAAGTAGCGCTCGAACTCTTTTAAAAGCAAAGACATGTGATCGTGCACCAGCTGGGAGAATGAAGGCTCAGGCTCAGTCTCACCCAAAATCCCCGCTAATGTTTGAAACATGTCCAAAATGCCTCTGTTGACGCGCCGTCCCCACAAATCCAGTTTGGCTTTAAATGCAGCTACTTTATCTGCCAACTTGAAGACAGTTGTCATTTTCCCCTGAAGTGACAGATTGAGTTCATTGAGCAGGCTGAATATGTCCACAAGTAAGCCAGTTTTGGCGCTCAAGTGACCGAGATGTAACGGAGAGAATGCGGTCATTTTTCAAAATAAAAGATCGTTCAGACTCAGATAATAAATAAAACGGAAATAAGTAATGATTTCTTGTGCGGCCCGGTACCAATTGATCCACGGACCGGTACCGGTCCGCGGCCCGGGGGTTGGGGACCACTGTTCTAAACTACATATAGACTACTACACACACACACACACACACACACACAGCCTATATAAAACCCTACAGTATATAACATATATCATTATTTCTATGATGCAATGTTTTATTTGTTTATTTAATTCAAATAGCTCTTATCTATTTTCATGTCTCTCAGCCTGTGTTGCTGTAACATGAATTTCACCTCAGGGGATCGTTAGAGTCTTAACTTATTTTATCTCACCCAAATGTGCATTACGTTTTTTTAAATAAACACTTCTGAATACTTTTATGCTGTGCAATGTGTAATCAGTAGGCTACCGCCAGATGTCATGTCCTCAAAGCCGAGCTTCAGCTTCCTGCAGTTAAATCATCCACCCACTAGATGGAAGCAGACGGAAATGAAATGCTGATAACATTGTTTCCAATACAGAGGTCGATGTTGACTGTGGCAGCATCTCAAAAACAAACAAAGAAGAAAAAGCAGAGGGAACAAGGAAGCATGGAAGTGTAGTGCTTGTGAGGCAAGTCACGTAAAAAGAGGAAATGTTTTGTTGAAAATGCCTATGCTTGTTTAATTGTATTTTTTTCCCTATTACTTCCGCAGTTACATTAAATGGTAAGCGTCTTTGGGGGGTTTCTTTGTCACTTAAAGCCTGAGTCGTTTAAAGCGTGTAAGCGCATCGGGAGATGATAGACAACAGATCAGACGGCAAGAAGTCCTGGAGTTGCACAGTGCAGGGTTGAGATGTCCTTCTGTAAACACGGAAATACTGTAGCCATGTAGTTTCATAATGCAATAACATTGTTTTGGAATAAAAAATGTTTTATTTTACTTAGGCTGCATTTTAGAAAAGCGTACATTCGGGCACTGCTGACTGAGGAAGCAACTGAGTTTGTGTGGTTTAGTCTGGCCTCACTAATACAAGTAGGATGGACAAATTGATAGCACCACCTCTCAGTATTATGCCTTGCAATACAGTGTGTATACTATTAAAGTAACATGATATAACATTAACAGATTACAGAAATCAAATAAAGGTATCATTGTTTACTCAACTCAACTTTATTTATATAGCGCTTTACCACAGCACAGCTGACCAAAGCGCTTAACATACCATACACATCTAAAATCATCACATAAAAAACTATAAACAATAAAACATACAGACAGAGTCTCATTCCTGGCCAAACGCCAATGAATACAAGTAGGTCTTCAAATATGACTTAAAAATAGACAACGAGGGGGCCTGCCTAATATAAAGAGGCAAAGCATTCCACAGGTTTGGACCCACCACAGCGAAGGCTCTATCCCCCCTAGTTTTACGCCTAGCCCTCGGTGCCTCCAGAAGAAGCTGATCAGCTGATTTTAAGGCACCGCGACGGATTATACAGGCGCAAAAGTTCCACGAGATAGGATGGTGCCAGCCCATTTAAGGACTTGTAAACAAATAAAAGAATCTTAAAACGAACCCTAAAACGCACCGGAAACCAATGGAGAGATGCCAGCACTGGCGTTATCTGGTCCCTCTTATGCCCCCCCACCAATAACCGAGCGGCAGCATTCTGGACCCTCTGGAGGTGGGCAAGACCCGATTGAAAAACAAAAAGTACAGCATGTGAGAATCTAAATGGAAAATAACTGAATTTTGGACTAGAGTACTGAATCTTGTTGAACTGCAAAATGTATTCAGTGTTTGGCTTTGCAACTATTTTATATTTGATCTGTGCTTTCATCATCACATTTTCTCCTCAGGGGCTTAAATAATTGACATCCAGTCATGGCTGATGTCCCAGCAGCAGAAATCCAGCTACTCCAAAGTCAGAAGGCCACGCTGATAGAAATTCTGAGTGGCAATGCTGACTTTGTCCTGCAGCATGCAGACGCTCGCTGTCTGCTCTCTCGTCATGACTACCAGCAGGTGAAAGCTTGCCGCAATCCTAGTGAGAAGGTGAGAGACCTGCTCGATCATATTATGCAGAGAGGGCCCGAAGCAGCACAAGGACTGCTGGAAATGCTGAAGGGCCAGGCCCTACAGGAAACCTTCCCACGGCTTAATTTTATTAAGGATCTTCAAGTCAACACACTTTCTTCAGGTAGAACTAAGTCTGATCAATATTTTTAGTGGTATAATTATTAAATACTGTTAGATTTCTGTGTTACATCTAATTTTTTTTTCTATTTACAAGGGGAAAAAGAAGCACGAAAAAGAAAATCTTGTGAATTACAAGAGAGCGTTCCATCCAAACAGATTTGCAACAAAGGTCAGTCCCACTACACTCACAGCTGTTCCCTTTAAAACATTGTAAGATCATCTCTTACTTCATCTGCCCATGTCTCGTTGCACAGGCTCTCGCTTAGTGAAAGAGAAGCAGTTGATGATCGTGGCTCGTGCCATCGGCAAACAATGGCGCGAAATTGGCAGACTATCTCTGGACATCTCCTCTGTGAAGCTGGAGCAGATTGAGGAGGACCATTCTGTCCATGTGGAGCGAGTATTTGCTATGCTGCGTTACTGGCGTAACTGCCAGAGGGAAAAAGCCACTGCTGCTCATCTGCACTCCCTCCTCACTCAGGAAGACTGGGCACTGCCATCTGAAAGCATTGACTGTCTACTGGAGACTGATTGAGGCCTTCATTGTCTGGCAGCTGCTGAGACTGAAACCTTTTCAACAGGAATATTTTTTTTACATGACATTTCTGTGTTTCTCATTTCTTATCATGCAAAAAACAGCATTTGAAGATTATTTTACGGGAACAATCAAGTGCCATGCATGTTTTGTTTTAGTGCCATTAAGCAGGAGGTTTCTCATTCAAGGACGATCATCCTTTTTTATGTCAGTGCAGCTTGAAATACAAACTGCTTATAAATATTGGGAAATACTAAACTTGTCTAGACTGTAAATTAAAGTCAAGTAAGGGAAAAGTGTCTGTTATGGGAGTGGCAAATGAACATCTTTTTAGACTGTCAGGGTCAATCCAGTGGGCAGCAACTCCAATGAAGCTCCGCCTTCTTGAAGACCAGCAGTCGGTGGTGGCGGCGATATGGTCAACTTCTTTCATGGCTTCAGTCAGCATCCTCTTCATTTTCTTAGAAGCATCATCAATCATGGAGCGCAGGGTCACTCTTGACATAACGTTTGCATTAGGCTGCAGTTCCTTCACAAAATCTCTAAATGATTCTTGTTCAACAGCAGAGAATGGCTGGAGCCCGAGTACCACATACTTCATCACAGCTTTGTCTATGGACCTCTGAGACACAGTCCTGGTGTTCACTAATGTGGTCTGCCTGCTGGTAGTGGGAGTCACAAGGGCCCTTCTTCTCTTTGTTGATGTCACCTCTTCATATTTTCTTTAAGGTGCTGTCCATGCTTTCTCTGAAACAAATACATAAAACCTTAACATGTACTGTAGATGTACAGTGGGTACGGAAAGTATTCAGACCCCCTTAAATTTTTCACTCTTTGTTATATTGCGGAGTCGTTGTGAAGAGGTGTGTGGCTTTCCTAATCACGTCCAATCAGTATAATCAAACACAGCTGGACTCAAATGAAGGTGTAGAACCATCTGAGGGATGATCAGAAGAAATGGACAGTACCTAAGTTAAATATATGAGTGTCACAGCAAAGGGTCTGAATACTTATGACCATGTGATATTTCAGTTTTTCTTTTTTAATAAATCTGCAAAAATGTCAAAAATTCTGTGTTTTTCTGTCAATATGGGGTGCTGTGTGTACATTAATGAGGAAAAAAATGAACTTAAATGATTTTAGCATATGGCTGCAATATAACAAAGAGTGAAAAATTTAAGGGGGTCTGAATACTTTCCGTACCCACTGTAATTTTAATGATTAGCCCAACATCTAGCACCTGTGCTGCTAGATGACGGTGCAGCTTTCATGACAGCTTTGGCGACGAACCGCTTTCTTGCACCTGTTTACACCAGACAGGCCTGTGCTTGTACTGTAACCTGACGTCACTGGTTAGAAACCTACTTTACCGTGACTTTTTTCCCTTTTAATTTTGTAGTAAGTAACGGAAAGGCAGAGGTGGAAATGTATCGGAGTAAAAGTACACATTTTATTTAGGAAATGTTGTGAAGTAAAAGTAAAAGTTCACAAAATTTTAAAAACTCAAGTAAAGTACAGATACTCCCAAAAATACTTAAGTAGTGTAACGAAGTAATACTTCGTTACATTACACCTCTGATTTGCTCTTTAAAAAGAAGAAGGGAGCCCACTTGGGCTGCATATGCTCGGGGCTCAGCAGTGCCTCACACCCATCCACACACACACACACACAACTCACACATCCACGCCATCTCCTTCAATCCCTCACAATCATGGGAGCAAATGCGGCCATGTCGCGTCAATCATGTGACTGACCAATGACTGCTTTCCCAGGGAGCACTTTCGGTGGCGTTTCCTGTCAGTGTTTGTAAACTGAGAAAAAATTGGAAGTGCGACAAGAAATAATAATCTACAAAACTCTAAGAACCGGAAGGTAAGCAGTCAGTTTTCCGACACATCTCACTCGTGTCTGTTTAGACGTTTTATAATCTGCTACCTGCTCGTTTCTAACTGCTGTAGCCGGTGACGGAGGTGTTATTTTGTTGTCGGAGCTGAGCCCTGCCTGCCTGACAGCTGTTGTCTGTTTTTACTTTCTGAAATCTCCTGGTATTTGTATTTTCGGTTAAATGTTTTTATAGCAGTAATTTTTTATTCTTCTTACTGTTAAGGAAAAATTACGGAAAACAAATGTGCAGATATTTGTAATTATGCTGACATTCCCTAATTATCCCGAGGCAGACAAGCAGAGCCTGTTCTATAACACAATGAACTTATTAAACCACAGCTGCTGCCTCTAAGAATTTTCTTCCCTGAAAAAATGTTTAATACGCTTCAAAATAATGTTTTAAACTGGTTCAGACCCTGTGACAATCATTTACTGCGATTACAGTTTCATTTATAAGGAACTCATGTGAACTGATGTCAACTCAGAAGTTTCTATATCCACTGTTACTTTTGTCTGTCATCCACAATATGAAGTGGGGACAAAGGTTGACTTCCCTTCCTGCCTTTGGAGCCATTTTTGTCCAGTCTGACTTACCAGTACGGCCAAACTGAAGGGCTGAAATTCACCAACTCTTTAGACGTTTGACTATGACAGACATGTTTCATTTGTCATGTAAGTACAGTGAGCTGCAGTATCAGTCTATTCTTGTTTGTAATTCTTGACTTTGGGGAGCATGTGTTCATGCATTTTTGCTTGTAACTCAACTTTTGGATGTTACATATTTTTCCATTATGAACTCTTGATTTTTTTTTTTTTTTTTTGGAGCATGTGTTTGTGTATTTTATCGTTAAACAGCAGCAGACGGGCAGGCCCAGGAACCAGCTAATTGCTATGACCTGAATGAGTCTCTTGTTGATCATGCAGAGGGTCAACACTTCTTGAATGAAGCCTTCAAAATTATTACAGAAGAGGTGCTCTGCAAGGGCACAGATGTCAAACAGAAGGTCTCTTATGAAGCTTGAAGTCAAATCATGTCACATTTCAGTGATTATGAACAAAAGTCATCATCCATGTTTTACTCCTGCAGGTTTGTGAGTGGAAGGAGCCAGATGAGCTGGCTCTGCTGCTGGATCTGGAGTTGAGGGCAACAGGGGAGCCAGAACACAGGCTCCTACAGAGAGTAAAAGATGTCGCCAAATACAGCGTCAAAACTTGTAAGGCTGCCAGAGACCGCTGAAACAATTGAACGGATGGATCCTTGTTCAGGTGTGACACGACTTTGTTCATTTCAGGCCACCCACATTTTTTTAACCAGCAGTTTGGTGGACTCGACTACCATTCCTTGGGTGGACGATTCCTCACAGAGGCTCTCAACACTGCTATGTAAGAATCATAAGTACATTTTTACACAGAAGCAGCTGGACAAGTAACAATACATTGCAACCAATAAAATAGGGTATTGTGCAGTGGTGGAAGCTAAGTACATTTACTTAAGCATTGTACTGAAGTACATTCGATGTATCTGTATGTGAATATTTTCATTTGTGCGACTTCACTACATTTTAGAGGTAAATATTGTACTTTTTACTCCACTACATTTAACTTTAGCTAATAGCTTTCAGAACCACACTTTTTTTTTTTTTTTTTTTAAAGCAGTTTCAGTATAATTACAAAGCATCTCTGGTGGAAAATTCACAAGTTAGCCAGCAGTACTTCACATTAGAAGCGTACAAGCCAGTTCAAACTAGCTCCCCCTTTACCAGCTACACCATTAAATGTTATGTACATAATGATACATTACCATTAAGTGTGCCTTTCTGCATAATGAGTACTTCACATATATATTGATGCTATTAACATTTTGAATGCAGGACTTTTACTTGTAACAGAGTATTTTTTACACTGTTGTATTGTTACTTTTAAGTAAAGGATCAAAGTACTTCTTCCACCACCGTTTCTGTGACTAAGAATGTAGTTGGAAGGGTGTTCAGATATGTACTTGTATCAAGTAAAAGCAAAAATGTTATGTTTAGCAAAAGAAGGATCCAAACACAGACACAAACTGGATTAATACAAACTGCAGGAAACAAGACAACAACATACAGAACACCCAAATGAAAAGCTGAAACCTGACTATGCTATGAAAAGACAAAGAAATAAAACAATCAAAACCGCACCATCAGGGAGTGATACCTTGAAAACTGAAAACATATGTAACGATACTAACAAAGAGAGCAACAAACCAAGAACTGAAGGTAGTGGGTCCAAAGTCCAAAGTCAGGAAAAGAAGCACAAGGGGTAGAGTCCAAAGGAAATGTGGGAGGAAGACAAAACAGGTAAACAGGGGTGTGTAGTGCAGACAAACCAGCAAACAGATGGAGGTGAAGTAAGAGGAATATAAAGGTTGAGGCATGAAGACGAGCAATGGGTGAAAATACAGTACTTGAAGGTAATTACTGCCCACAGTAAAGCTGAAGCAGGTGAGATAACATGGGACAGGAAATGCCTTCAAAATAAAAGTACAAAACTGGAAGACCCAAACAATGACAAAAGGACAGGGAAGATGGTTCAAATTGATGGGAAGATGGATGGAGCCAAATACAGGACCATTCTGGAAGGAAACCTGATGGAGTCTGCAAAAGACCTGAGACTGGGACGGAGATTTGTCTTCCAACAAGACAATGATCCAAAACATAAAGCAAAATCTACAATGGAATGGTTCACAAATAAACATATCCAGGTGTTAGAATGGTCAAGTCAAAGTCCAGACCTGAATCCAATCGAGAATCTGTGGAAAGAACTGAAAACTGCTGTTCACAAATGCTCTCCATCCAACCTCACTGAGCTCGAGCTGTTTTGCAAGGAGGCATGGGCAAAAATTTCAGTCTCTCGATGTGCAAAACTGATAGAGACATACCCCAAGCGATTTACAGCTGTAATCGCAGCAAAAGGTGGCGCTACAACGTATTAACTTAAGGGGGTTGAATAATTTTGCACGCCCAATTTTTCAGTTTTTTATTTGTTAAAAAAGTTTGACATATCCAATAAATTTCGTTCCACTTCATGATTGTGTCCCACTTGTTGTTGATTCTTCACAAAAAATTACAGTTTTATATCTTTATGTTTGAAGCCTGAAATGTGGCAAAAGGTCGCAAAGTTCAAGGGGGCCGAATACTTTCGCAAGGCACTGTATATATAGTGAAGTGAAAGAATAAAGTAGCAGAAAATCAAAACCCATGAGAAGTACCTCAAAATTATACATAGTACACAGATTGTTTATTCAGCTTTGTGGTCATTCTTAGGGCTGCAGCTTATGGTGTTGTCCACTTTTGAAAACAGGATACTGTAATGTTAAAATAAACAATATAATGCAATGCAGTATGAAATACAACCTTGAAAATGATCAGAGCCCTTATGTGTTAACTGCAGCCACAGCTATGAGTTGTCCCCAGTGTTTGTGCTGATGGAGGCTGAGGTTCTGAGAGGGCTGCGTCAGCTGGTGGGCTGGACAGAAGGTGATGGCATTTTCTGCCCGGGTGGATCTGTGTCTAACATGTATGCCATAAACCTTGCACGATACCAACTCTTCCCAGAGGCCAAAAGCAAGGGACTGTGGTCTCTCCCACAACTGATCCTGTTTACATCTCAAGAGGTCAGGAATGGCTATTTAACACTACATACCAGAGGGACTGAGATTATAATGCAGATAGAGACTGTGGCTTTTGCGTTGTCTCTGCATTACAAGAAGCATTCCTCATGTTTTCCCAGAGCCATTTCTCTGTGATGAAAGGGGCTGCATTTCTGGGTATTGGGACAGACAATGTGATCTCGGTGAAAGTGGATGAAGGGTAATGTATTGTGGATTGATTAATAAATTAACTGATCGACTTACAAAATGATTTAAGTCATCTCTCAAGCCAAAAATGCCAAAAAATATCCAGATTCTCAAATGTGACTATTTGCAGCTGTTCTCTATTTTAGATCATTCATTAAAAAAAAAAGTCATATCTTTGGGCTTTGAACAGTTGTTCAGACAAAAAAAATCAGTTTGAAGATATCACCTTGGGCTCTAGGGTGATATATTCCACTGACATTTATTAAAATACAGGATTCATGAAAAAACATATGATAATGAACGTAATTATTAGTTGTAGCCCTATTCATTATGGCTCTCAGGGTTCTATCAAAACACCTTGTTTATATTTCTCTGCCTTTTTCTCATGCGACACAGAGGGCATATGATTCCAGAGGATCTAGATGAAAAAATAATGCTGGTAAAATCTCAGGTAAGTAAGAACACAGATCAATCACATATTAGATTGTGGGTCACTTATGTTGATTTTAGCACTGATTATACACAAAATATAACTAACTATAAAACCTGGTTTATATTGTTCATCATTCAAACCAGAAAAAAGAGTGCAAGGCAGCTGTACTCACTCAGTTTGTTTCTACCAGGGTGCGGTGCCATTCCTTGTCAGCTGCACATCAGGGACCACAGTTCAGGGTGCTTTTGATCCATTGGATCTCATAGCTGATGTCTGTGAGAAACACAAGCTCTGGATGCACGTAGATGTGAGTCCTGTGGAAGACGATTCCATGTCTGTTGACAAGCCTTGGTTTTGTGTAAACTTGTGTTGAATTTGTTAAAATGTTAAAAGAAAAAATCCCATGCAGAGTTTTGTTGTTTGTTTCAGGCTGCCTGGGGAGGGAGTGTGCTCTTTTCCAAGCAACACAGGCATTTGATGAAAGGGATTGACAGGTATCCATATACATTTACAGTACATATTGCATTATGAGGAAGGTGCCATTTGGCCTGTGCTCAGTAGTGGAAAGTATCTTAAGTCCATTTACTGAAGTACTAAAGTACAATTTTGAGACATCTGTACTGCATTTTGTGATACTTCATACTTCACTACATTTAAAGGCAAATATTGTACTTTTTATTCCACTATATTTGCTTTATAACTTTATTTGCTAGTTACTTTTCAGAATCAGATTAATACAAATAATACTTCAAATTAAAGGTATATTAAGTAGTTAACATTAGCACCGTTACTAGCTGCAAAGTAATGAATATAACAATGCATCAGGAATTATAATCCAATAATATGATATATATTAATGTTCAATGTGCCATTCTGCATAGTGACTACTTTTAGTAGTACTTTAAGTATATTTTGATGCTACTTTTATACTTGAGTAACATTTTAAATTCAGGACTGTTATACTTGTACAGCATATTTTTATACTGTTCTATTGCTACTTTTGCATAAGTAAGGCATCTGAGTACTTCTTCCATCACTGTTTGTGCTTGAGTAGAACTACAAAGCTGGGCAGATACAGTATGGTCATACAGACAATATAATGTTTATCCTGTGTTTGTGTGTGTGACAAGAGCAAATTCAGTAGCCTGGAATCTGCACAAGATGCTGGTGGCTGGCCTGCAGTGTTCTGCCTTTCTGCTAAAGGATACTACGGTTTGGTTTCCTAGTTTGGTGGCTACAGAATCACCTGAAATCATTATTATATGATTTAATGGTTTTGTGCTTTTGAAAAACTATTTGACACTCAATAATTTCTGCTTTTTCTCAGAACTTGATGAAGCAGTGCCACAGTGCCACTGCCACATACCTCTTCCAGCAAGACAAATTCTATGATGTAAATCTGGACATTGGGAATAAGTCTGTGCAGTGCAGCCGCAGAGTTGACTGTCTGAAGTTGTGGTTGATGTGGAAAGCTGTTGGCTCGAATGGCTTGGCAGAGCGCGTAGACAGAGTTTTTATCCTTGTAAGGTAAGGCATGCAGCTGTAGCACAAGACAAGTTGTAAATTTGAAGTGACCTCATCTCTAAGAGTTATACTGTAATTTAAAAGCACTGTTATTTTGCTATTTCAGTTCTTGCTTGTCATATAAATTTAATCCCCTATCACTGAGTTAGCTATTTATGTGTTGCTTTTTTAAATACTAACACTAAGGAAGAGGGAATACTTGGGTCCATCTTGCACAGCAGGTTAGGATACTTGTTGGATTCTTGACATCTAAGCCGTTAATTCACCAGTGACCTATATCTAATACAGCAGGAACATTACACAGTGAATAAGACCAACTTTTTTTTAGTCAAGGCCTCTAGCTGAGTTCTGTCCCCATGTCAACAAAATGTGAAAACTTACTCCTCCAGGTATCTGGTGGAACAGATGAAGATAAGAGAAGGATTGCTACTTTTGCATGAGGTAAGTAAACATCTCAACAATACAGAAAAGAGTTTTTTTTTTTGTTGTTGTTGTTTTTTTTTTACCTGAAATGTTTTGATTATATGTCTATATGTATCTCTATGGACAGCCGGAGTTTGCAAATGTATGCTTTTGGTATATACCACCAAGCTTGAGAGGGAAGGAAGGAAATGCAGATTACCAGGACAAACTGGCAAAAGTAAGTTTCTGTCAATAGTACACAATTATTGGGAGAGCATTCATGGAAGCTCAGTATACAAATTAAATGATGTTTAACCATTATTTGGCCCCATAGGCCATGCCTTTATAAATCTTCAGAGCCCCACAATAAGTAACACCATTTTCCAGTCCTAACCTCCCTTTAAAACGAAGCAGCATAGTATCTGCATTGTATTTGTTCAGGTTAAACTATCAGCTGTTTAGGAGTCTGATGGCAGAGGGAAAGAAAGAGTTTTTCAGTCTAGAGGTCCTGCATTTAACACTTCTGAACCTCTGGCCAGAGGCTAGGGAGGTGAACAGTCCGTGCTGGGGGTGGGTGGGGTCTTTGAGGATGGAGGCAGCTTTCCTACGCACCCTGCAGTGGTAAATGCTCTACAGAGAGGGCAGTGGAGTCCTGGTGATCTTCTCCGCAGTCTTTACCACTCTCTGCAGGCGCTTACAGTCCATAGCAGTAGTGCTGCCATACCGGACAGGGCAGCCCCTGGCAGGATCCCTCATGATGCCCCTCTAGGTGGGATGTATTTACTTTGGGGCTGGTAGGGATTGTTCAGCATTCTGGCTGTTGGTGTGGCTGCCTGCTTGTGTGTGTGTGAAAATAAAAGAAAAAAGGCAACTTCTGTCCCTTGCGCTCACACACATATTAACCACTCAGATTTACCTTCTTATTTGAAGTGTGCATGCTTTGTTAAGGTTACCATATTCAATATTTACCATGTTTTAATCTTGGTGCCTAACTCACTTTTTTTTTTTTTTTTTTTTTTTAAAGGTAGCTCCAGTTATCAAGGAACGCATGATGAAACAAGGCACTTTGATGGTAAGCTACCAACCTCTGGGAAACAAGGTCAACTTTTTTCGTCTGACTGTGTTGTCGCCTCTGCTTTCTCAGAAAGACATGGACTTCTTTCTCAATGAAATTGAAAGACTGGGAAATGATTTGTGAAAAAAGTCAAGTTATAGATGTGAACCCCTTGTCCATCTAGAATTTGAGACTATGTCCAAAGTGCCCCACTGTAATGTCACATATTCTATTTCAGACAGATACCATAATATAACAAGGTTATAAATTTTTGAAGAACATAGACCAAAATATGAATGAACGGATAAATAAATAGAGAGGGTCCTTATTCTTGATTAATGTCAAATGACTTATTTTAAAGATATTTTGAAACATTGTCATTGAATTAAATGTTCTATTCTGAAATTAGTTTACAAGAGATATTTTCCAAACCATTTTGTAGCTGTATGGAGTATAGTTTTTACAGACAATGTAAATTTTGTTGGATCAGCATCATATGCCAATGCTGCCGGAGCCCTGGTTTGGCATTGAAACCCGGGCGGCCAGACAAATTTGCTGCAGAGTGGAAGTGGAAGAAGGATCGACTCCAGGTGTCACTTCAAATTTTAAAGGACTCGTGGCGTAATTATCAGAGGATTGTGGAAGGGGCCAGAAGGGAGTATTTGTCAAATGTCATTGTAGCAAATAGACAGAATCAGCGTGTTTTATTTGAGACAATTGCTGCTGTTTTGGATCCCCCACAATCGAACTGGTTGGATGCATCTCCTGAATTATGTGAAAACGTTTTACATTTTTTCAATGACAAAGTTACTTCAATTAAGGCTCTCTTTCAACTCCTGTTCATAATCCTTCGGAATGTGGTCCTACTCTGGCCACGTTTGATGTATTTGAACGTGTGACTCTTTCATTTTTAGAGGAGATAGTTGGCCAGATTAAGCCATCTGGCTCTCCTTGTGATGCTATTCCTCCGTCCTTGTTTAAAGAAGTTTTCCCATGCATAGGAGAGGTGGTGCTAGCCATTGTAAATAGCAGTTTATCTTCTGGTGTGGTTCCTGGACACTGCAAGCATGCTGTTATTCAACCTCTGATTAAGAAGCCAGGCCTTGATCAAACTGTTTTGAACAATTTTAGACCTATCTCTAAACTGTCTTTTATTTCAAAAATTTTAGAAAAGGTGGTGTATACACAGTTGAAATCCTTTTTAGATGAGCAGAACTTGCTGGAAGTCTTTCAATCGGGTTTTAAAACCCAGCATAGCACTGAATCAGCCCTGTTGAGTTTTTAATGATATCTATATGGCAACTGATGCTGGCAATTTTGTGGTTCTTGTTTTATTGGATTTGACAGCTGCCTTTGATATGGTTGACCATGATATTTTGATATCGCGACTGGAACAATTAGTGGGTATCTGGGGCAGTGCCCTGGAGCGGTTTAGGTTGTATCTGTCGGGCAGGACGATGTCTGTCGGGCTCGCAGATATTGAATCCTCATCCT